CAGGTGGCGCAGTCAGTTAAGCGGCTGGCTCTTGGTTTCGGCTCAGGTCATGATCTCACAATTCTTGAGTTCAAGCCCCAAGTCTGGCTCTGCACTCACAGCCCAGAACCTGCCTGGGATTTCTCTCTCCCTCTCTCTCTGCCCCCGACCTTAAAAAAATAATAATAAACAAATTATACCAGGAGGAACATGAGGGAGCATCTTTCTCATCACCGGAACAATGACTCACCACCTTCTTAGTCATTTCACTCCATGGCTACAAGCAGGTTGGGGTTACTTATCCCAGAGCCGACAGACAACTCCATCTCAAGCACTGAGCTATCAGTTTCCTACACTGAAGTAGGAGGGGACTGTGAGAGGCAGGAGGGTTTCCAGTAAGGCCCAATGTTACCTTTAAGGGGAATCCCGAGAAAGGAAAAACTTAATCAGTAACATTGCTCCAATTTTCCAATCTGTTACAGAAAAAAAAACCTAAATGCACTTAGGAAACTTAACAGTATAAGCACAAACACTGACTGCTTATTATGATTTTTTTTTAAATGTTTTATTTATTTCTAGGAGAGAGAGAGACAGCGTGAACAGGGGAGGGTCAGAGAGAGAGGGAGTCACAGACCGAAACAGGCTCCAGGCTCCGAGCCGGCAGTCAGCACAGAGCCCGATGCGGGGCTCGAACCCACAAACCGTGAGATCATGACCTAAGCGAAAGTCGGACGCTCAACGGACTAAGCCACCCAGGCGCCCCAGTATTTTATTATTTTTAATGCTATTTTAAATGGAATTGCTTCCATAATTTCCTTTTCAGATTGTTCATTGCTAGTGTATAAAAACACAACTGGTTTTAATGTGTTGATCTTATACCTTGCAACTTCGCTGACTTCATTAGCTNTAAGCGAAAGTCGGACGCTTAACCGACTAAGCCACCCAGGCGCCCCTATTATGATTTTTTTAATGTTTATTTATTTACAGGAGACAGAGCATGAGCAGCAGAGGGGCAGAGAGAAAAAGACACAGGGAGAGAGAGACAGAGGATCTGAAGCAGGCGCTGCGCTGACAGTTCGGGGCTCGACCCCAAGAACTGTGAGATCATGACCTGAGCCAAAGTCAGACATTTAACGGACTGAGCCACCCAGGCTCCCCTGATTGCTTATTATTTATCTCTCTGGTCAATTAAATCATTTCTCTGCATCCAACTCTCTCAGGAAAACAATTATTGAGCCCTTATTTCTTCTTAATAACCAGGATTTCCTCTGGCAACTTATTATAGCATCTTACTATGCTTACAGTTCTTCAAAATCTCAAATCCTTTCATATGCAATCAAACATCCTCTTGCATCTTCAAGAGACTGTAAGAAAATGACTCTCCATCACTCACACTCTCCCTTCACAGCTGGACGACTATTACAGTATTAAGTGTCATGATATTCAGTTACACAATGGCCTTCCAGTCACTAGCCTGAATGGATGTTTATTTTAATCTGCTCTTAACAGATTATTTCCCCCAAATTTTGTTGCTCTTAGTATCCTAAAAAGGTTTTTCCCCCACTAGATCAATCTAAGATCCCAAACTACCTGAGACTAGAGAGCTGAACAGAGAATCCTACATGGTGGTCACCTGTTTCTGCCTCTCAGCTTCATGTCTGTTTTATGAGCATGAGACTTAACCCATTTCTATTTCTTCAAGGCCCAACTGTGACCCCAGGTCTTTAATAAGTGCAAAATAAATGTATTTCAATTTCTTCTTCTTAAAAAAAAATATTTTTTAATATTTTTGAGAGAGACAGAGCGTGAGTGGGGGAGGACCAGAGAGGGAGACACAGAATCCAAAGCAGGCTTCTGGCTCTGGGCTGTCAGCACAGAACCTGACATGGGGCTTGAACCCACAAACCATGAGATCATGACCTGAGCTGAAGTCAGCTGCCCAACCAACTGAGCCACCCAGGGGCCCCCATTTCAATTTCATCTCAATGAAAGTGGCCATACACTCTTCCCCATTAAAAGTATTCTACCTGTATGTCAGCCTCCATTTGGTGTTTTAAAGAGGTGTATAATCACACTAAATTTGAGGTCCCCCAAATTTGAGTCACGAAAAGCAGATTTTCTTAACTCCAAATATATATTTTTAATTTTTTTTTAAATGTTATTTATTTTTAGGAGAGAGAGAGAGACAGACAGCATGAACAGGGGAGGGTCAGAGAGAGAGGGAGTCACAGAATGAAACAGGTTCCAGGCTCCGAGCTGGCAGTCAGCACAGAGCCCGACGCGGGGCCCGAACCCACGAACCGCGAGATCATGACCTAAGCGAAAGTCGGACGCTTAACCGACTAAGCCACCCAGGCGCCCCAGTATATTTTTAATTTTTAACGTTTATTTATTTTTGAGAGAGAAAGAGACAGAATACAAGAAGGAAGGAGGCACAGAGAGAGGGAGACACAGAATCCAAAGCACAATCCAGGCTCTGAGCTGTCAGCACAGAGCCTGACACCGGGCTCGAACTTGTGAACCGCGAGACCATGACCTGCGTCGAAGTCTGACGCTCAACAGACTGAGCCGCCCAGGCGTCCCTTAACTCCAAACATTTGATAGATAAGGGCTTATCACGAGAACAAAGGGAAATACTAGCACGGTTAACTCTTAACATCTTGAGTTGCTGGATCCATGACAAAAGTCATACTCTATAGCAGCAACTCTTCTTTCTAGAAATTAACACACATGGACACGCACACACACACACGCGCACACACCTTAAGACCAAAATTTCAGCTTTCGTTTTGTTTCTGGTTTTTAATATATAAGGTGGAGTCAAACCATTAATAACTAGTTCACATGCTTTTCCTAGCCCAACCAGTTTCTTTCTGGTAAACTTCCACCTGTCTCAGTATGCATCTACTCTCCAAATCTCAGCTATCTTGAGCACCCAAGTGATGTACCAAGGCGTCAGAGAAGCTTGGTTTAACTAGGTTCCCTAGCACCCTGGAAAGTCCCAGGAAGTGGCCGATGGAAAGCTTGCAATTTCACCTACCACTAATGGGGCAAAGAAGACTTCCTTTGCAGTTATGAAAAAGAAAAAAAAAAACAAAACACATCAACTAAGCATCATCTTCCTACAAGGTTGATACTGTGACTAAGTAATAATCAGCTCATACAATAGAGACATGAGAACAATCTAGGCTTAGGGTTACACTGGAGAGGATGAGAGAAAGGAAGATGTGGACCTCTGAATGCTTTCTGAAATAGGGAATTTAAGGAGGGTTTCATTGCTCACAAAGGAGTAACAGAACCTTCCGAGCCTATACACAGGCCCCATTAATCCAGGAACCTAGAAACATCTTATAAACATCAATTAAGCCTGGTAACAAGCTCCCTGTATAAACAGGGAAACTTAGGTGTTTAGAGATCGAGTAGCCTGAAGCCTAACAATGAGTCAGGACCAAAGTGAGCACCGGACCCAGGAATCTGGAACCCTCATCTCTGGCAGCGATGTGCAATCTACCCTTCAAGGGACTAAAATGTTCACAAAGAAACAGATGGCAGAAACAGAGGATAGTATCCACACATCTTGGGACGGGACAAGACACGGGAGAGCCAATGGCTCCCAGTTGAAGCTGGAAAGAAAGCCAACCCATGGCCCCAAACGTCATTTAATCAAATGGAAAATTTGCATTGCTTCAGCACCTCCTTAGCAAAGACACTGCTCACCTTCTGGCTTGTAAGCTGATGCCAAGAGATAGCCTATCCATCCTCACCTCAAGGCTCTCTATTTTTATCTGATTTGAATTCAGAAATGCCCATTCATCTTTGGCCAGATAGGTGAATCACGTATATTACATTTGCAAGCATGCAAGCTGAAAGTGGACCCATCCCAGAGAAAAGGGAATCTGGTCCCTTTGAACCCTCTGGCTTTTACTGCCCTGTTCACAAGGGAAAGTTAAAATGCCGTTTATATCTAAAACACCCAGTGTGAATCAGTATGTTTCACAAACTGTAGGAAGAGTCGTGGTAATATGACTGGTGTGCATAGTTAATGTCCAGCACAAAGTAACCAATTAAGCTCAGGAGGCCAGCTTTTGGTATAGGGTGAGCATAATCAAACGTTCCCTGATCAAATCGCTCCATGGCAAACACCTGCGCAAGAGAACAAACAAATGGGTGACACCTTGAAGTGAACTGGGTGTTGCCCAGCTTTCCCTGTGGGAGCGAGATACCCGAGCACAGAACTCTACACTGAGAAGCCATAGGTGAGCAACCATCCATTCAGAGTGGGACCAGAGAGAACCTAACAAACTCCAAAGAGAAACAGTGCCTACCGCCCACTTTAGTTTGGCCAAGGGCAGACCCTGGCTCCAACCAGCACTGGGAGATCCTTACTAATTTCGGGTGGGCGGACTGAAAAGGGGAGGAGGGGGAGGCAAATTCTCTTCACCAACCCCTTATGCAATAGTCATGCTGCAATGCCCCTGCACTGCCCCTCGATGAGCCTCTGGGGCCAGAGACTGTAGTGGGTTTCATTCTTCCACTCAATCCTCCCTGCGCCCTGGCCCTGGCATTCCCAGCTCAGCGACTAGGCCAGTGAAATACCCAGGAGGCTTCCCACAGAAGCTAATGTGTGTACCACACATGCACACTACCCACAGTAATAAGAAGACTTCGTCAGCCCACATGTATTTTCAATTCATCAATAATTCATTAAGCGCTTACTAAGTTCCGGCCGCTGAGCGACGTCCCGTGGGTTCAAAAACATCCCAGGTGTTCCCCGCCCCCACCCCGCACGCCCGCTGCAGGGAGCCCACAGGAGCCGGGGCGGGACAGCCGAAGGAGAAGTTGAAGTTAGGTGAGAATACGGTGACCGGCCGGCGAGATCCCTCTCGAAAGGCCTCTCTCCGTCCGTCCCCTGGGGACGCAGCGATACGGAGACTGCCGTGCTCTTTCTAAGTGGATCTCAGCGCCAAGCCACACGTTCCCCCCCGTCCCGCTCCGCGTCCTCTCCCCCGGCCCGCACTCACTGGGTCTTCCTGCGGCCCTGGTCCCGGTGCAGCTCCCGCAGGTCCACCTCGGCCCGGCCCAGGAACTTGTCGAGGCCGAGCAGCGCACGGTGCAGCACGGTGAGCTGCAGGGTGGCGGCGGCCGCGGGCGCGGCCCCGGCAGACAGCAGCGGCGGCAGCTCGAAGGTGGCCTCCTCCCGCCACACTGGCGCGCCCAGGCTGCGCTCCGACACCGAGGTGGCGTACTTCTCCTTGCCCACCTGGATCACCGCGTACGCATCGCTCGTGCCCCCGGGGCCCTTGGCCCGCAGGCCCCGCGCCTGCAGCACCGTCACCTGCACGTGCGTTGGGGACCACACGGCCCCCAGGCCCCGGCCAGCCGAGGCCGCCAGCGACATGGTGACTGGGCCGCGGGCGGCTCAGAAGCGAGGAGAAGATCGCCGCGCCGTGCGGCCCCTGCCGCCGGCCCCTTCGCCCCGCCGCTTTAAGGCTTCCGGCCACGCCCCCTCCAGGGTCCGCCTCCCTCCGCCCGGGCCGCCCCGCCTGCCCCGCCCGCCCCACCTGCCGCGCGGGGCGGGGCCTCCGCCGAACTGGCCGGAGAACACCCGGGGCGCTGGAGGCCGGCGCCGCCGGGCGGGGGCGGGGCCTTGGAGAATTCCCGCGGGAGAGGTGTTAGTGAAGGGCCGAGGTCCCCAACTGCCAAAGGTCGCACGGCCCAACCGGAACCGGCCGGGGCACTGCCTTGGCAGTCAGAACTCTCTTCCAATCCGGCACCGCCAATTGGCAGGTGTGTGAGCTGGCACCGGTTACTTAACATCTTTTGGTCTCAGTTTCTTCATCCCTACAATGAGATAACAATCACCTCATACGAGTGCTGTAAAAAATAATAATAATAATGTAGCCCGGCCCGCGGTGAGTGCTCAGTCAAGAGTAGCTCTGAGGGTGATAATGAACGCGATCCCAAATTCACCGCTCTCTGTTTTGGCCAGCCGGCGGCTTACTCTGGAGGGCAGTGGGTTCAAGAACGGTGCCAGGTGGGCGGGGAAGGGGGAGGATCGTTTGAGGGCCAGAAAAGGGGAAGGTAAGGGGGGTGAGATCTGGAGGTGGTGTGGGAGTGACCGTTTTGCCCTGCCCTCACCAAAAAAGGTGAGGCTAAGAGGCTAAATTAGGGAAGGGGAATAAAGGAGGAACTGAAATTCGGATTGCCAAACCAGACATCAGGAACAGGGTGCCAACCCCCCCCCGCCCCCCCAGTTCCCCAATTCTCCCCGGCTGAATCCTTTTCAGTTTCTCCCTGCTTTTTATCTCTGGGCTGCCAATCATTCACTTCCTTGTTCCGGATATCCATTGGATTGGCAGATTCGCTTCATTCCCCAAATGCTACCTCAAAGGCTTAACCATGGATGGGTTGGTCATCAGATTGGAAAGGCCACTTTGAAGCTTTCAGGTTTTACAGCCAAGGAAAGGCCCAGAGCAGAGAAGTGACTTGTTCAGGGTCCCACGACAGAGCCAGGACTAGAACCTAAGTGTCCTGACTCCCATCCAGTGTTTTTGCTACATCCCTTGCTTCTTCAAGGTCCTCAGAACCCCAGTCTTGAATTACTGCTGGCTTCTCACCTGATCACTAGGCCATCCTCCCTTCGATTCACACTACGCATTGCTTCACTGACCTGCTCAAACCAGTGACTTTGCCTCACCACCAACTGCATATACTTCCGACGTCAGATTTCAAGGGATTCCTATTTTGTCCCCACCCTGACGCATTCTACTCTATCTCCCAAACAAACCTCCAGGCCTGTACTCCCTCTGTTGTCCTATGACTGCCCTGCCAACCTCTCTGCCTACCCAGGTCCTGCAAGACTTCACTCAGACTTCCCCCACGGTTTAGCTCCCAGTAGTCCCTGTCGGGGCAGGGACCAGGTGGTGACTCACTTGTGTCTCCCATAGTCCCTGGCAGAAACCTGGGTACACAGTAGGTACTCACAAAGTGCTACAGAATTGAAGAGTTTGCGGGCTATTCCGGCCTACTACCAGTACACATCGTTTCCTTTTATCGTGGAGGAAATTAGAAGATGCATTATGCCTCAGGTTTGCAACGGAGGGTAGCTACCCTGTGGGAAAGATCTATTCAGTACATTGTAAATATTTAATGGTGATAGAAAGGGAAAAGAAAGGAGGCACCAGACAGGTAAGTGACGGGAAAGCCTAACAGAACTCTGTTGTTTTGGTGCCATCCCTCTCCCCTCCCCTTTTTATTTAAAAAAAATTTTTTTTAACATATATTTATATTTCAGAGACAGAGACAGATCACGAGCAGGGGATGGGCAGAAAGAGAGGGACACCCAGAATGGGAAGCAGGCTCCAGGCTCTGAGCTGTCAGCACAGAGCCCAACACGGGGCTCGAACCCATGAACTGTGAGATCATGACCGCCAAAGTCAGACGCTCAACTGACTGAGCCACCCAGGTGCCCCTCCCCTCCCCCTTTTTAAAGTTTATTTATTTTGAGAGAGAGAGAAAGAGGCTGTGGGAGAGGCAGAGAGAGGGAGAAAGAAAGAATCTCAAGCAGGCTCCACGCTGTCAGTGTGGAGCTCAGTGCCTGGTTCAAACTCACAAACGGTGAGATCATGACCTGAACCGAAATCAAGAATCAGACACTTAACTGACTGAGCCACCCAGACGCCCCAACCACTTCCCTTTCTTGACAATATATTAGTGCCATTCAACCTCATGGGTCCATTCACTATCATAAAGATTTATTGAGAACTTACTTGGTGCCCGGCAGCTAGGAGCTAGGGAGGGCACAAAGCCTTCTGAGCAAGATCCCGTCCCAAGGCACACCATGACAAATGCTGTAAAGGAAGTTCTGTGTTAATAAAATGCTTTGGGGGTTTTGAGGTTGGAGTGATTTTTCTTAGCAGGTGGAATTTTATGAAGGAAGTAGGACTGAGCTGAGCCCTAAGGCATATACCATATTTGACAGGCAGAGAGAGGGACACGGGGGGCGGGGAGAATATTTCAGAAAGAACAGAACAGCCTATGCAAAGGTATGGGGGTCAGAGAGTTCATGGCATGTTTAGGGGTTATGAGCACCCTACTGGGGCTGGAATGTGGGATATTTTAGGAGGACACCGGGGGTGGGTCGTAGAGACACCGAGGTAGGTGAGCCCAGATCATGTAGATTATGAACACCAGGCTAAGGAGTTTATACCACCATGTTAGGCCAGGGCGAGCCAGCCTTCAGAGGGTTTGAGCACTGGCGTGATGAAGTTGTGCTTCAGGTTGTAAGGCAGGTATGAGCCGAAGTAGCCCAGCAGTCAATATCATGGCAGGTCATGGCCAGATGCCTTCATTTTTACCTGGGGACTGTCTGCCTCTGGCCCCTTCCACCTACCACTTACCCATCTTTGGTGTCTATTTCAAGTTGGGAGTGTATTAAATAAGGCATATACTTCCCTCCCGGTTTTCCTACCTGTGCACTGTTCTACTACATCCCAGCTGGACAAAGTCAGGGATTTGGGTTCAAAACTGACCCTGGGAGAGGCGCCTGGGTGGCTCAGTTGGTTGAGAGTCTGACTTCGGCTCAGGTCATGATCAACTGCTTCGTGAGTTCAAGCCCCGCATGAGCTCTGTGCTGACAGCTCAGAGCCTGGAGCCTGCTTCACATTCTGTGTCTGTATGTGTCTCTCTCTGCCCCTCCCCTGATCTCACTATGTCCTTCTCTCTCTCAAAAATAAACGTGAAAAAAATTTTTTTAATTAAAAAAAAAAAAAAGCTGACCCTGGGAATAAAGTTTTTCAGCTCTCATGACCCATCCTCCCCCACACTCACCTTGTTAGTGTGAGCCCACAATAAAGATAGCAAGGAGCTAAACCTAGCTGGGCAGCCTCACAGGCTGAGTATGACACAAAGCATCCCTTCCATTCATGGAAAGGATTGGAAGACAAAGTGGTGGGGGAGGGGCAACGAGGGAGGAAAAATTATGAGCACCTTGTGACCTCATGTGTTTGGGTTTCTGTCAGACACACGGGCTCCGTGGTTAGAGCAGAGGTGGTAGACTGGGGAGGGCAGGGCTGCCCCACCACCTCAAGATATCCAGATCAAGATCCTTCTAGACACTGGACGCTGGCAGGAGTTCACTCAGAGGAGTGTGGGCTCACCGGAGGCGGGAACTGGAAGTTTGTCAGAGAAGAGAGGAGCCGGGAGCTACAGCACACGATGTGCTTGGAGCTGCCTTACTGCCTGCTAGACGCCTCGGTGGCTGTTTTCTCCTTTCTCCAGCCAGAGCGCAGCGTCCCTGAAGACTCGCTTGCTGACCGCCCAGGAGTGAGCCTGTCTTCTCCCAATTTTACAGCCCCACAGTCCAGCGAGGGGGTGTGCAGGTGCAAGGGCGAGGGCCAGGAGCCCCGTTCCCCACCTGCACTCGGGGGAACCCACCTGGGCGTCCCTCCCAGCCTCTCGGGCAGCCTGGGCGGTCCTGGGGCGCTGACCCCTCGCAGGCTCCCTGCATGCCGGGAGTGTTTATAAACACCTCCCACACCAGGGTGTGGCCAGATGACTTCGCGTTCCTCTGGCCGGCCTGCCTCTAGCCCTGACTGGAAGAGGAAAAGAATTTCTGTGGGCCCTGAGCATGTGGCCAAGGTGCCTGGCAGGTTGGACTGGACAGGTTAGCCATCCTGCCCCTCCCCCCACAGAGGAGCACACCAGGACACAGCTGTGCGCTTAGGTGACCAGCGGGGATTTGCTTTTAGGGGGGGCCAGGAACAGCCCCCCAGGATAAGACCTCCTGTAGAGCCACGTTGCCGGGGAGGCTAAGAGCGAGCAGAGGGAGAGATGTTCACTACTCTACCACTGCCAACCAGCCACTCCTGCCCACAGCTCCTCAGGACACCCCCATCTGCCAGAGAACTAACTCAAAACCCACCTCTGGGGGTTCTGATCGGGCTAATGTGCTGGCCAGCCCAAGGGAGGAGCAGAGAGAGGCTGGTGATGGCTGCTTGTCTTTCTCCTTTGCCTCGGACTCTGGGGTGTGGTGACAAACGTCCACACATGACTCATTCACTGGAGTGCTTGGTAAACAGTCTTCTGGCTTCTCCAAGTCCAGCTGCCTCAGACTCTTGCCCACTCAGCTGACCAAGGAGACGACCAAGGTATCTCTGTAGGCTCTGTGAGCAGGGGGCTCCCCTCTTAGGGGTCAGCGAGCCAAGGGAACAAGGAAGTCCCCAACGTCAGGCTCTCTTTCCATCGCCCCAGTGGGTGTGGCAATGTGGAGGTTAAAACTGTGGCCACGTGGGACAGAGGATGGTCTCAAGAGGCAAATGGCTAACATTTCCCCAGACAGTCTTGCTGTCAATGTTACTTAGTTTAACAAAGCTTGCATCGCGAACAACACAAAGGTATCTTTCTAATTTGCCCAGTTTCTTCAGAGAAGGCCCCAGAATCTTACAAGTGAAAGGCTGTCTAGAGAATGT